AAACCCACTCCCTCCCTCCCATCCCCCCGTCCTCTGTGTGCTGCCTGCCCTGCAGGTGTGCAATGCCTACACAGAGCTGAACGATCCAATCAGGCAGCGACAGCTGTTTGCCAATCAGGGCAAGGACCGGGCGGCGGGTGATGATGAGGCCATGAAGGTGCGAGTGGGGGAGGGGCGGGCGGTGGGGCGGAAGGGGAAGGGTGGGAGGGGTAGAGTTGCAGGGGGGGTGGGCGAGGGGCAGAAGTAGAAGGGGGGTGAGAGTGGGAATCGCTAAGGACCGGGCGGCGGGTGACGATGAGGCCATGAAGGTGCGAAGGGTTTAGAGGGAGGGGAGGACGGTGGAGCAGAAGAGGTAGAGTTCTGAGGAGTAGAGGGGAAGGTGGGGGATGGGGGATGGGCAGAAGGGGAAGGGGGGTGAGAGTAGGGTAGGCCAAGGACAGGACGGCGGGTGGCGATGAAGCCATGAAGGTGCAAATGGGGGACGGACAGAGGGGCGGAGGAAGACTAGGGGATTTGTGTGGATGGGGCAGAAGCTGAAGGGAGGTGAGCATGGGGAAGGCTATAGGAAGATTTTTGCGGCGCCTCAAAGAAGGGAGGTGAGCATGGGGAAGGCTATAGGAAGATTTTTGAGGCGCCTCAAAGAAGGGAGGTGAGCATGGGGAAGGCTATAGGAAGATTTTTTAGGCGCCTCAAAGAAGGGAGGTGAGCATGGGGAAGGCTATAGGAAGGCTGGTTGGCTGCCGATGATGAGGCCATGAAGGTGTTGATTGGAGTGGGACAATGGGGGAAGGGTAGGGGTAGGTGGGGTGGGGGATGAGATGGGGGGAGAGAAAGGGAACACAGAATGAAAGTACTAATGCTGTGGTCTCAGTGATGCCACACTTGCGTGTTCTCTCCTCAACCTCTATGCACTCTTGCCACTTCCCCCTTGTCCTTACTCTTCCCCCTTGTCCTTACTCTTCCCCCTTGTCCTTACTCTTCCCCCTTGTCCTTACTCTTCCCCCTTGTCCTTACTCTTCCCCCTTGTCCTTACTCTTCCCCCTTGTCCTTACTCTTCCCCCTTGTCCTTACTCTTCCCCCTTGTCCTTACTCTTCCCCCTTGTCCTTACTCTTCCCCCTTGTCCTTACTCTTCCCCCTTGTCCTTACTCTTCCCCCTTGTCCTTACTCTTCCCCCTTGTCCTTACTCTTCCCCCTTGTCCTTACTCTTCCCCCTTGTCCTTACTCTTCCCCCTTGTCCTTACTCTTCCCCCTTGTCCTTACTCTTCCCCCTTGTCCTTACTCTTCCCCCTTGTCCTTACTCTTCCCCCTTGTCCTTACTCTTCCCCCTTGTCCTTACTCTTCCCCCTTGTCCTTACTCTTCCCCCTTGTCCTTACTCTTCCCCCTTGTCCTTACTCTTCCCCCTTGTCCTTACTCTTCCCCCTTGTCCTTACTCTTCCCCCTTGTCCTTACTCTTCCCCCTTGTCCTTACTCTTCCCCCTTGTCCTTACTCTTCCCCCTTGTCCTTACTCTTCCCCCTTGTCCTTACTCTTCCCCCTCGTCCTTACTCTTCCCCCTTGTCCTTACTCTTCCCCCTTGTCCTTACTCTTCCCCCTTGTCCTTACTCTTCCCCCTTGTCCTTACTCTTCCCCCTTGTCCTTACTCTTCCCCCTTGTCCTTACTCTTCCCCCTTGTCCTTACTCTTCCCCCTTGTCCTTACTCTTCCCCCTTGTCCTTACTCTTCCCCCTTGTCCTTACTCTTCCCCCTTGTCCTTACTCTTCCCCCTTGTCCTTACTCTTCCCCCTTGTCCTTACTCTTCCCCCTTGTCCTTACTCTTCCCCCTTGTCCTTACTCTTCCCCCTTGTCCTTACTCTTCCCCCTTGTCCTTACTCTTCCCCCTTGTCCTTACTCTTCCCCCTTGTCCTTACTCTTCCCCCTTGTCCTTACTCTTCCCCCTTGTCCTTACTCTTCCCCCTTGTCCTTACTCTTCCCCCTTGTCCTTACTCTTCCCCCTTGTCCTTACTCTTCCCCCTTGTCCTTACTCTTCCCCCTTGTCCTTACTCTTCCCCCTTGTCCTTACTCTTCCCCCTTGTCCTTACTCTTCCCCCTTGTCCTTACTCTTCCCCCTTGTCCTTACTCTTCCCCCTTGTCCTTACTCTTCCCCCTTCCCCCCTGCATCACGCCCCACCCCACCTCCTTTTCCACCTGAGCAGAAGGACGATGATTTCTGCACGGCGCTCGAGTATGGCCTGCCGCCCACAGGAGGGTGGGGCATGGGCGTGGACCGACTGACCATGATTCTCACCGACTCCATCAACATCAAGGTGAGATGCATGTGGGGGCGTGCATGGGGTCCACAGGAGGTTGGGGCATGGGAGGGTTAGTATGGGAGGTTGGGTCACAGGAGGGTGGGGCATGGGAGTGGACCGACTGACCATGATTCTCACCGACTCCATCAACATCAAGGTGAGATGCTCGTGGGAAGGCGCACGGGGTTTGGTGCACAGGGCGTCAGTGTTTGCATGATATGGTGGGTATGGTCATCCCGCATTGGAGGTCCGCCCACGGGAGGGTGGGGCATGGGAGTTGACCGACTGACCATGATTCTCACCGACTCCATCAACATCAAGGTGGGAGTCAGCTGGGGAATCGCACAGTGTTTCGCACAGGGCATGAGCATGTGTGTGTGGAGTGGAGTGGTTGGTATAGTGTGGCCAAGCCAAAGGAAGTTGGTTCACAGGAGCGTGGGGCATGGGCGTGGAGATGCATGTCAGATGTATGTGGAGGGCGCACAGGACATGGCATGGTATGGTGCACAGGACGTGGCATGGTGCACAAGATATGGTACCCAGGACATGGGTATGTGCACCGGTACTGGTATGGGAAGTCTGATGTATGTGCACGGGTGAAGCCTAGGGTGGGATGGGAAGTTGGGACGGACATGTGCATGTCCAGCAAACAGCTTCCTTGTGTCTTTTCCCACTTGTTATGCATTGGCTTCACAGGAAGTGCTTCTGTTCCCTGCTATGAAGCCCAAGGCTGACCAACTCCCCGCTGCTGCTGCCGCTGCTCCTGCTGCTGCACCCTCAGCTGCAAATTGATACTTGAGCAATCTTACGACTAAATATATGGATTTGAGGAGGCAGGTTCATTCAATAGGTTTATCCGTCAGGCTTGTGTGATGGACAATAAGGATTTTGTTCTTTTCTGGTAAATGATGGCCTAGTGTTGTGTAGTTTAGCAAAACGGCTGATAACGAAATGGTGCATCTGGATGAGTTCTCTGTGGACTGCGCCCTCGTTCTCACTCATCTCACCAACGGAAGCACTGGCTACAGTGTTTGGACGTAGCGGGCTGGTGAGATAACTTGGTTGCCAACAAAGTCGCACGAGGCGAGGAAGCAGGACCTGGGCAAACAAAAAATCGTTAACGCTCAATATCCGTCTAAACCGCTTTGAAAAAATCAGTAATATTCCAGAACGTATAAAACCTTGACTCACCGCCTTGGGTCAAGTTGTCACTGTAACGCATGTGATAGGACCTTCTTTGGTCCGCTGCGGCTACACTTAGCGTCTCGGTCAGTATAACATATGCCAGTCTATCGAGAATGAGGGTGTAGCTTTTGCCAGGACGTGTGGCTTGACCACATTTTGGTTGGGACCAGCTGCGAACGCTGCCCTGCCTAGTGGCGTGCTTCGTTTTCCTGGTCATCACCAGCTCTGGTCTGGCTCCAGCCAAAACCAGGGTGCTTGCTTTGGCTGGAGCAGGGTCGCAGCGCGCGATACTGTACTCCAAAAGCATGCCCGCAATGTACAGTACGCATGTCTGGCCCACTGTCTAGTGCAGATTGGATTTCACACCATGTGCCACGCCAGCCAGCCTCGAGATGACGTGCCAGCTAGGATGGTGTCAGAGCCGAGCTGTTCGAGGGGCACTGTTGAATTCCACATCAACGAGTCGAGACGCTTTTTCATGTGGTGGCCCTTGGGTGTTCCCATGTGCCAGCTGGAAGAGAAATAACCCTGAAAAACATAAGCAGGAGCAGGCAACACTCGTTCCCGAAGACAGCCGTGCCCACTGTACTGCAGGGCTCGGTATGTGAAGATCGACACTGGTAAATGACGCCACCAGGCTGGGGTAACCCAACCCAAGTTTGGTCTCGCCATGAGTTTCTGCGTGCCTCCATTTCCTTTCACCCTCCAGTCAAACCACCCTCTCCTTTCGCAACCATGCGGTACGCTTCCTCCACCCATCACCTCTCCCGCATTTCCTGTCAGCCCAAACCATCCACGCCCCCGCCGCGACTCACTTGAAACTACAGTAGCCCACTGTTTCATTTTGTTGAGGTATTCCTGCCTCGCATACGGTGGGAAATGTTGGTTGTTTCTTTCTTGCTGCTGGGAATTCTAGGACCTCGCCTTCTTTCCCCGTTTCTAACCACGTGCATAATCAGAACTGCGAAATCTCTCTGATCTCACTTACCCCTCACCTCCCAACGCGTCGAGATGTCGCCTGCTCGCATGGAGTCCGTGGTTGTTGAGCTCGCGTTCAGCGCAACTCGCGCTGTTCAACGGCTAGCAATCACCAGATTTCGCAGCCGTCCAGTTGTGGAGAAACCATTGGCTGTACTAAAATGTCTCTTCTTCTGGTGGCCATACCTACGATTAGCGCCCTCGAGTCACTGTCCCCTGCAGAATCGAAAGCCCTGAGTATCGCCTATGGATTGCGCTTTACGAATCTACTACCACTCACGCCGACACAAACACATCCCATTTCATCCTGGTCCGTCTCCCTTCCTCGACTGCTCCTTCGCTCTCTCTCAGAATCGCCTTCCCTCTCACCATTCTCAGACATCGCCGAGCAATTCAGAGAGGATTCAGGAACAAGGTCGTGCGTAGTTTCTAGCGCCAGCTTGTGCCTTCCAATCGGTCCGGAAGTTCTGAGTAATTCTGGCGTTGGCACGCGACTCGGGTCCGTGGAGAAGTCAAGGTTTTCAAGAATTCTGCATAGTCGTCGAGAAAATGCTTCTGTTGAGTAAATTTTCAGGGTCCAAGTCCCGGAGGAATTCGGGGAACGAGCGGAATGCGCGGAGCGAGCGGAAAGATGAGAGCGGATGCGGCTCGGAGCTACCCCTTGGACGTCAACCCGCGGCGCGCGTCGTTGTCTTCGAGAGATGCGGTTCGCAGGAAGCATTGACAGCACGCGGAGACGCGGAGAACCCGCCGGAATTACTGGCTTCTGAACCTGCTGCGGCCGGAGATTGCGGGGCTTGCGGAGGTTGCGGAAGCTGCGGAGGCTCTGAAAGCTGCGGAGGCGGAGGAGGTTGCGGGGGTTGCGAAAAGAACGAGGTTTCGACGCTGGCGCCGGCGGGTTTCGCGCATCGCCTTTCGTTCTCGCTGGACGAGACGACCCTGAGCGACGTCGCTCGTCGAGCGTGCGAATCCTCTCACGAATTGTCGTCGCATCATTCGCCGGATGCCAAGGCGCGTCGCTCGTCCTTCTCCTTCGACCCTCCCCCGCTGGTGGCTGGGGAAGAGGGAGCTCCTGGGAACGAAATCTGCGAGGAGGGCTCAACGGCAGGCGAAATTGGCGAAGAAAATACGGCGTCATCACAGCAGCAGGCGCAGCAGCAGCAGGGGGAGGTGGAGGAGGAGCAGCAGGACGAAGCAGAGAGGTGCCGGTGCGAGAAATGGATGGCGTTTCAGCAGTCGATTGCGGCAGCAGAAGCAGCTGACAACGCCGCCACCGCCGAGCCCGCGACTACGCCTGGCAGCGCCGCTACTGGTACTACTATTGGTGATAGTGTCGACTGCTGCGCTGGCGACTCTGGCGACTGCTGCGCTGCGAATTCTTTCGGCGGGTTACAATCTCCAGCTCTTAGCGTCGCCGAGGAGGCGGAGGCGCCATCAATTGCGACGCCAGTTGCGCCATCAGTTGTGCCGTTAGTTGCGCCGTCGGGTGCGACAGCAACAGAGACGCTGTTCTCCCGGCGAATGAAGTCTCAATCGCACCCAGCGGCGCGGGTAGCACCCGTATTGGGCGATACCACTTCGGGGACGCGCAACTTCCCCTTCCCCCTGGCCCGGGGCCCCGCAAGCGCAGGCCTTTTGCGGAACTCCCCGCTGCGCAACTTCCCCGCTCCCCGCAGCTCGCCGCAGAACGATATCTTTCCGCCCCCGGGGCCGGCGGCTCTCACGGCGGCGTTTCTGCCAGAGCCCCGCTCTGCCCGTGCCAACAGTACCTACCAGTACACACCGCCTCGCGTTAGTGAACCGTTTCAGACAGGCATATCTTGTAGTGAGGCGTTTAGGGGTGCGAGTAGCGAGTCGCCTCGCGTTACAGTCACGTCGATGGTGACAGAGATCGCGTACGAACCGCTCCCTGAAGGCCTTTTCACTCCGCTCACCCCGCTATCCGCCGCTTCCGCCGATTCCGCCCCTTCCGCCGCTTCCGCGCTGTTTTCTCCGGGCGGCCACTCCGCACGATTTTTCGACTCCCCCGGCGCGTTTTCTCCGCGTGGCCACCGCGCGGCGTTTTTGGATTCCCCCGGCGCGTCTTCGTCCGCCTCCGTTTCCTCTGCGTCCGTTCTTTCCCCCGGCGCTTCCCCCGGCGCTTCGCCTTCATCTTCTCCCGCCGCACGAACACTCGCGACGCGACACAGGCGACAGTCGTCCGCGTCGCACGCGACGACCCCTCCGCCAATCACGTCGCTGCAAGGCGACGTGCCGCGTTCGCCGCTGGCTCCGTTCCGTCGGCGATCGCATTCGTTCGCATCGCTCAACTCGTTTCAGCTGCAACGAAAAATCCAGGCGTCCCCGTCCCCGCCCATGTCCCCGTCTCACGCGTCGGCAGCATCGACCCTAGCGGAAGCCAGGGCGGCTCGTTTGTCCACGTCAGCAGCAGCGGCAGCAGCCGCCAAACCAGGAGGAACCAGGATTTTCGCGTCGCTGCCGCTCCATAAGCCGACAAAATTTTCATCGCCTGGCTTGCAAGTATCGCCACCCGCGGTTACAGGATTCGCTAACTGTGCGACTGGTGCAGCTGACGTGGCACTTGCTGCAGTCGCTCCGACTGCCGCCTCCAGTTCGCTTGAATCGCACGCCGTCGCTGAAGCTGGTGTGCCGCAGTTCCCTCGGTGGGGATCTACAGTGAATCGTTCTACAGTACACGGAGGTACAGTTGAGACTTCTACACTCCAAGGGGCTACGATAAAGTATTTTACCATTAACGAGAATGCAGTGCCTTACGCCCCTAACAGAAAGCCCACCGGCTCGAATTGCATGGTTTTCCCTGCTTCTCCCAAGTCCCCACAAGCTCTAGTCGGAGCAACGAGGGGCAACCCGGGGTGGGAAATGGAGCGGAATGGGGGGTACTTTATGGGAGGCGTGGGGGAGGCAAACAGGGGGGACATGGCAAAGGGGTGGGGGAGCACATCGCTGGGGGTGGAGCTGGGTGGTGGGGGATGTGTGAGGGGAGGCGCAGCCGCAATGCGGATGCGCGTGCACCAAGGGATGAGTGCTGCGAAGCATGTGCATGAGCGCATGCGATCTGAAACTGCTGGGCAGGTTGACAACTTGCTGCCAGCCTGTCACAGTAACCGGACTGGCGAAGTCGGGGGTAATTAGCACACTTGCAGGCTGGATCATAGAGTGGCGGCAGCAGTAGTGGAACATGCAGCTAGGGTAGAAGCAGCAGCAGCATTATAGGAAGCAGCAGAGCTAGGAGAAGCAGCACAGCCAAGGGTGGCAAATGGTAGCAAGAGCGTGGGCCATACACACTGTGTGTTCCTGTGGTGGCAACAATGCCTCCAGCGGCCAAAATACACAGAATGTGAATCCAAGGGATCCTCTTTTGCTTGTTGTTAGCACGTGTTTGCAGTTGTTCCACTCTTTATCTATAAATAAAAGGGATTGCTACTGGTAGGAGCTTGCTTGGTGTAGACTGGGGGACAGTCATAGGAGCTCATGATACGGTAGAAGGAAAATATATGCTCTTTTGCATGTATTCCCTTTAGTAAGTGTTGCTTGCACGAGCAGCTGCAGCAGCAGTAGCAGCAGCCCGAGCGCGGCCATCAGTTGCTGCTCTTTGCGATATCATACTCTCAAAGCAGCTGGGTATGCACCCTGACCACACATGTAGGCTGGTTGGGTTGGGAGTGGTCATGCCAGTTGTGAGTGGTCAAAAGCTGAACACCATTTATCGTAAATGGGAAGGATGAATTGGGAGTGTAGAGGGCATTCTTGTTATGGTAGCGAGCATGCCTTCCAGGAAAACATTGCTTGGTTGACAGACAAACAACGCCAGGCAGCCAGGCTGGTTTGTTGCTGAAAAGTTGTCGCTTCTGTCTTTATGGAGGTTGTTCGATAGATTAATCTAACGGCCAACGGAAACGCGATTAGATCGGACGTCTGAGATTATTTGAGAGCCTTCCACACTGCCAGGCTTTAGCAGCTCGACCTTTGCGCTTGTACCTCTCGCTTCGACGACAACCGTCGATTTTCACCGCAATACCTGCATAAGAGCCAACAGACCGTACCTGATTATTCACCCTCAGGGCTTCCTCACCTCCCGCGCTGTACGTACGGAGGGCAAGCCTCCCCGTCCCTCCCTTCGTCACTTTCACCCGCGCCAACAGCAGCGCAACCACGGCCCAGAGTCCAGAGACGGGGTATCGTACCCAAACCAGCAGGTTCGGGAATGATGACATTTTCAAGGTTCAACCCCCCCTACCCAGCCAACTCCAGCCGCTGGTGCGTCGCAATTGTTTCTTTACCCCCAGAACCCTCTTCCAACACTCTGCTTATAAAATGGACCGATTTTGAACGCACTGAATATGGCTGACAAACGCCCTGAGAGTTCGGTGACAGATGGCTTCCTCTTCCATTTTGCTTACTACCCAGCTCAACCGTTCTTGAAATCTATTTGACCGCGCTAAATCGCAATGAGAGTCACTGATCGTAACGAAAGCAGGACAGAGCTTTTCATACAGTAAGACAATTCCCTAGAAACTATCCGCCTGATGAAGACTACCCGCCTTATCTTGTCCACCTGAGTGCTCACTAATACCTATGTAGGCGTTGTTGTAGGCCGTTTCCAAGCTTAGACGCCATTGAAGCTTCCGCAAGGGAGTGCTGCTGCTTGTTATGATATTTGTTGCTGTTGCTATTTCACTCGCAAAACAGTAAATTGGCGTCGACATGGATTTTGGACCTGAAGGGTCGTTAGTATACCGCAAGTTCCTGCTAGCAAGCCCGGCGAGTGCCACGTCAGCTAGCAGTAATGCCAATCTAGTCCATCCAGTTTCCCCCTGGCACGACTTACCGCTTCGGTTTGATTCTAACGATGGCTCGGTTCCCGCTGCATTATCCGCCGGTGACTGTATCGAGATGGTATGCACTACGCCTAAAGGCTCGTGGTTACAGCTAGAAGTAGCCGTTTCCGAGCTTTATCAGCCGTTGAGGCTTCGCGAATCGAACGGTGCTCCCGCGCACTACCAGGACAATGTACAGTGGAACCTTGGTATTATCCCGCAAACGTGCTCATGCTTTAGCGAGGACGACGAGAATAAAGGAAGCGGTCCGGACCCGTCGAAACAGCACGGTCCGGTAGAAATAATCGATATAGGATCCGCGCCTGCTGACGTGGGATACGCGTATCGCGTGAAACCAATGACAGCGTTTCTGGTGATAAGTCCTAATTTAAAGACGACCCTAAAGATAGTCGGCATTAATTCCATGGACCCGATCGCTGATAAGTTATCGTGTCTAGAAGACTTGCAGAGACACGCTGGTGGGAAGCTCGCGGAGATCAGCGAGTGGCTCAAAACGTCAGGCTGTGTTTCAAGATGTGAGTTGAAATTGCTGGTCTGTTGGCTGGTTCAATCTATTAATTTTTGCTTGTTTTTCGCAACCTCGTCGATTTTGCTTGATAATAGCAAGGCAATTTCATGCCCGATGATGCGCCATTTTCTGAACTCCACACGTAGACAGAAAGGTCATTGGAATACAGCAGATGAAGAAGCTCTTCTGACGGTGCTTTGTTTCTATCGGGAATTAATATAATTAAGGCCTATTGCCGGTATCAGCGATTTTTATGAGGAGAAGGGACCTCAGGGAAATATGAGACGCGCCAGCACGTGAAGCCATAAAACCATTGGAGCTCTCAATAACAATATTGAGGATTTTTGTTTGTTATATTATCCGTAAAATTGTCTTGTTTCTAATGTCTCCCTACCTTTCTCTCCTCTTCCCCTCTTTCCGCCCACCTCCCACTCTTTCCCCTTTTCCCCCTTTCGCCCCCCCGCTTCTGCTCCTTCCTCCCTTCTTTTCCATCCCGCGCATTGCCTCCTTTCAGACGACGTACCCAACACGATTGGCTACCGCGAAAAGCCCGTCCCCACGGACCGAACGCTCTCCCTCCTCACCAACGCGCATGCCGCCTGGCACACCTACCACAGCACCCACCACAGCCCCCACTCCGCCTCCGCCGCTTCCGCCTCCTCCTCGCCCAACCGCCCGCCCTCCGCCGTGCACGCGCGGGATCTGCGGAAGCTTGTAGAGAGCACCGCGGGCGGGTCGCTGGACGATCCTTCCGCCACTGGCGCATGCGTGCCGTTTTCCAAGCGGGAAGGCGCAGGGGGAGCGGACGCGGGGGGTGGCGGAGGTGCGGGAATGGGAACGGGAACGGGAACGGGAACGGGGACGGGGACGGGGATGGGGGCGGGGGCGGGGACTGAGGCGGGCTCAGCGCACCCTGTGGCGGCGAAAGCAGGTCCAGCAGACGATTTGAGGCGGAAACTTCTCGCGTCGAGCTCAGCGCGAGGTCCTGCAGGTGTAACACCAAGAGATAAGGTAACCGCACATCGGCGAGCTTCATCGGTGTCGTTTTTCGCCCCAGGCGCATCGGATTTCGGGACGGGTATTGACAGTCCGCCTCACGGGTTTCATACGGGGACGGGGAGCCCTGGCGGTGGGAGCGGCGGGGGCGGCGGGAGCGGCGTGGGTGGGGGAGGTGGCGGGGTTGTGGGGATTGGCGGAAGTGGTAGACCCCCTTCGCTAAGCCCTCGCATGCAGCAGCCGCCTTCGTCGCAATTCGCAGCGTTTCCCGGCGGCAGCAGCGTGGGGGGAGGGAGCCCCGGGGGGCGTAGGGTTAACAGACACGCGCGAGCGCAGAGCGTCAGTTTCAGCCTGCATATGGACTTCAGCAGTAGCGGCAGCGGCGGCGGCGGCGGCGGCGGTATCACCAGTGGCAGCAGCAGGGGTGGCGGTACTGCTAACGCCTTAGCTCACGGCTCTCCCCCCCACCCTGGTGGAGCAGGGGTGCAGGGGGGAGCCGCCCCTGCGCCTGGCGCAGGGGGAAGCAGGGGAGCGGGGCTGGCGCCGCCGGGATTGATTAAGGGCGGAATGGGCAGGGGGGGACGGCTGGGGCCTTTGGGCGGAGGGGGGCTTGCTGGGGGGAGGGCGGGTCCGGGGAGGGGGATGGGGCGCGGGGGATTTTTCAGGAGCGCGTCTGTGGACGGGGGAAGGGGGGCGGAGGAGGATGGGGGAACGGATGGTCCGCTGGTGAGGCGGAGGAGTGGCGGAGGGGGAAGAGACCCACCGGTTGTTGTCAGGCGCGGGGGGATGCCCCCCTCTGGGCCTGCGACAGGCGCAGGCGGAGGCGGAGGAGGCGGGGGGAGTGGCGGAAGCGCGGGTGTTGACGGAAAGGAGACGCCAGGTGTGTTAGTGATTGAGCTTGGTAGCAAGGGGGGTGAGGGGAGTGAGGAGGGGAAAGAGGCCAGCAGTGCAGATCAGGATTCTACATTTACCTTCCCTCAGCTAGGAGGGGCGATTGGTGATCCGGGTATGGAAGGTGCTGCTAACGGAGGTGATAATAACGAGGAGGAGGAGTACACTGCGGATTTGGACAGTAGTGAGGATGACTGTGACGAGGATGATGGGGATATCGTGGAGTGTAAGGCTGCGCCAGGAGCATCTGTTACAGGGCGAATGCCGCTCAATGTATCTGTTAACGAGGACGACGATAAGGAGGATGAGGACGACTGTGTGGTTCTAGCCTCGCCTCTCCTGTCCGCCCAGCACCAGCAGCCGCAGCCGCAGCTGCAGCCGCAGCAGCAGCAGCAGCAGCAGTAGCAGCAGCGAGTGAGTGATGCATCGCCAGGGTCAAGTTCTCCTAACGGGCTTGTAGCAGCAGCAGGAGCAGCCGCAGCAGGAGGGACAGCCGGCAATGCAGGCGTGGGGGCAGTAGCAGCCGGGCAGAGTAACGGGCAGATTGGGGGCCATACTGACGGGGAGGAGGAGGACGCTGATGCAGATGGGGATGGAGACATCCCCCTGGCCTCACCCCTGGCCAAATACCCCCCTGCCAGCCCCCTCAAGGGGCCTGCCCATCACCAGCCGCTGCTCAGCCCGTTAAGCCGCGGTCCTCTGGCTTCTACATTCAGTGCCAACCCCCCACGCCCTGGCAGCCCCCTCACACGCGCTCCCCAGCAGCAGCAGCCGCAGCAGCAGCAGCAGAGCGAGAGCAGCAGTGGTGGCGGCTTCTCAGATCCCTCTGGCGCGGTCGTGAACCAGAGCCTGCCGCGGCGGCTCGTGAAATCAGGCTCGGAGCGGGTGGGTGGGGCTCCAGGGTCGGGAGGAGACGGCAGCTTCAGAAGCAGCAGCAGTGTTGGTGCTGCTGCTGCCGCTGCCGGTCGGGGTTTCAGCGGTGGTGGGGTTGACGAAACCACCAGCGTTCCAAGCCCGAGGAGGTTCCTCAAGTCAGGTTCGGAGCGAGGCATGGCCGGACCTGGAATTCCCTTGTCTTCCTCCCTTCCCGTAGCCCAGGTGCTTGAAGACCCTCCTCCCGCCACAGAGGCTGGGAGCTTATCCGGGCATGCGAGTGTGCCCGAGCAAAGACTCGGACGGGACATTCGGCACACTCGCATGCTGGGAAACGGGTCGTTAAAAGAGCAGGGGAGCCGGGGATGGGCAGAGAGCGGTGGAGGGGGAGGGGGAGGGGCTGGTATGGGTGCGGGCGGAGCAGGAGGGCAGGGGTCGAGGTTGGGAGGGCCCCCTGGGATACCCAGGCAGTGGAGTGCTGGGGAACCAGGCGGAGGTGGTGCAGGGGGAGGGAGTGCAGGCGGGGGCCCAGGGGGAATGGCAGGCCATGCCCATACACACGCGCATGCACATGGGCATGGGCATGCGGCAGGGGTGCCCAGGCAAAGGAGTGTGGGGGAGGTGGTTGGGGTAGGGCAACAGCAGGGCAGCACCGCCGGCACTGGTAGCACCAGTCGAGCGCATTTCCCACCGGAGCACATGGTTGGGCGAGGGGAGAAAGGGGAGAGTGTTGGTGGGCAGGAGGGCTCGTTTGACCAATGGCAGGTAGAGGAGCCTGGTACAGGGGGAGATGGACAGGGAGGGGGTGGGATGGTGCAAGGACCGGGAGTAGCTATGACAGCAGCAGCAGGAGGAGGGGCGCAGGGAGGGGCACAGGGAGGGGTGCAGATGCGCATGGGTAGGCCATCGTCCCCTCAGCTAGGGGGTCGGCCCACTCCTCCCCCCGGCCATGTGTCCCCACACAGGGCACGAGGCTCCCGGCTCAGGGATAGCAGCCCTTCAGGTGGGCTGGCATCGGGCCACACTGGTTCAGGTGGTTCTTCAGGTGCTGGTGGAGGTCTGGGTGGCGTGCCTTCAGGCGGTATCAACAGAGCGGAGATTGCGGCCGGCAGGCGGGCGGCGTGGAGGAGGAGCAGCAGCATTGGGGCCGGCGAGACTCGGAGCGGAGCGGCTGACATGCCCAGGCCCACGTCACCGCAGCTGTTTGGAAGCATCAAGGAAAAAGCGAGGGAAGGTTCCTCAGGTGCTCCGTTTGCTGCGTTCCAGGGGCAGCACCACGGGCAACAACAGCACGGGCAGCAGCAACAGCAGCAGCAACTCTCAGCCCATCAGCAGCAGCAGCAGCAACTCTCAGCCCAGCAGCAGCAGCAGCAGCAACTCTCAGCCCAGCAGCAGCAGCAGCAGCAACTCTCAGCCCAGCAGCAGCAGCAGCAGCAACTCTCAGCCCAGCAGCAGCAGCAGCAGCAACTCTCAGCCCAGCAGCAGCAGCAGCAGCAACTCTCAGCCCAGCAGCAGCAGCAGCAGCAACTCTCAGCCCAGCAGCAGCAGCATCAGGTGGGCGGCAGAAGCAGCCCGTCCCAGGTGTCACCTAACAAGTGGAGGCCACAGCTTGGGACTGTTCAGGCTTCTATGCCTGTAGGAATGGCAGGTGGGTCTGGAGCAGGTTCATTTGGTGGAGGTGTTACTGCTGGTGGGTCCAGTGGTGGTGGATTGGGGGAAGGTAGTGCTGGTGCGATGGGTGGGCTACAGCAGCAACAGGTTGGGATGGGGCGGCCAAGGACTGGACATGCTCGTAGGCATTCATTTGCTGTTGGATCTGGTTCGTTTGATTTTTCGTCGCAACCTCCAAGCTCGTAAGGACTTTTATGAAAGGTGGGGGTTATGGGGAGAAGAGGGGGGCGGGAGGGCGAGGGTGAGTTAAGGGGGGCCCCAAGGGTGGACTTAATTTGAGGATTTAGTTTTCTCTGCTGCATTCTGTTGGTTGTAGCCTTGAAGGGTTTGGGTCGCAGGTTGTTTGATTGCTGGCTTCCTACCGAATGGACTAGCACGTGCTTATCTAGTTTGCAAATATGTGTAGTTCATGCACTGCCTCAGTTTGGTCTTGGCAATACAGTTGAAATTCTGAAAAAGCGCAACTGGGGGTGTCTTGTAACGAGGTACTGAACTGTGCAGTCATGCCTCATAGGACTGCCTGGAGGATATGACAAGGAAACCCACCCTTTTTTGCTTGGCCCACAAAAAGTCGTCTCCCCTGCCCGTCTGTCATTGACCAACACGGCATTGGCCGAACGTGGGTGCTCACGTTGCAAAATGGATGGCATCAAATTCGTGGTTCGTAGAAAAGGAGTCTGTGGTGGGTTGAACGCGACAAACTCCGACTAGGCAAAGCGAAGCAACACCTGCCAATGACGACAAACGTGTTTCTCAGCACCCGAGTCGCATTGCGCACTTCCCAGCCACCTCAACCGAGGACACTGGGTACTGTACACCCTCATCCCCCATTTCAACCTACTCAAAACCTACACAAACGCTTTTACTACTCGCACACCACAGTAGTGTAGGCTGTTCACCACACCACGCAAGTTTCAAGGCAAACTGAAGTGCACCCACAGTGTGTCTTCGCCGTCCTCCCGTTGCGAACGATGTCAGCGAAAGAGGTTTCTGGGGGCGTGTACAGTGTGCCAAGCCAAGCTGGTTCGTGTACACATCGGTTGACAAAGGGGAAGGTACAGTATGGATAATGGCTGGGTTTGTCAGTTGGGCTCAACCTCTCCCTGCAAGCAAGGACCGTTTCGCTGTTTTCTCTTAATATTCCGGGGTATTTCGGTACGATGCCGACCATATCGGGGGCTGACTCTTACACAATATTTTATTGAAGGTCTATGTAGTGAATCATCTCTGAAAGATTTTAGGGGCCACATACTAACCGCTGTGCACCGTCAGAAATGTAAACCTCGACGGATGACATAAGCCCCCATTAATTCTAATCCTCAGCATTAGTTGATACAAGAAGTCCTTAGTGCCTGATGGGTAATTTCCAGGATTGCAAGGAAGTCCAGCACAGAAAAAAAAACGAGGTCTGTCTCCTTTCTGGCTCGAAGGCGTAACCGGAGTTGCATTGCAGCTCATGTGCCTCCTTGGGAGAAGCAACTTCTCCCTTACTGTACATGGACGAGGAGGAGGAGTGAAGAGGGAGGGGGGTATTGAAGTGGTGTTTGTGCACGAAACACCAGTTTCGTGCACGGAGTTGACAGTCAGCTGTAGGATGAGTTCGAGAAAGCATAGCTTCAGCGTATGTTAGACCACCTCCACTTCTCCGCTCGACGCGTTCTACGCTGCAATTACAAACACTATGAATCGTTGCTTAATATTCTAGGGAACACTTTACGTCAGCTACACTCATGAATCGCCATTTTCTCGCCGACGGATGGTCTGTCGTCGAGTTCGGAACCGTCGATTCTCCCGCCTATCGATGGCTCTTCTTCGATCCTTCCGCGCGACCGTTTTCTCCGTGGCACGAGTTCCCTTTACACTCCAAGCACGGCTTCTATCATGTCCTTTGCCTCACGCCGCGCGGCTCCGCCGCGCGCATCGAGGTTTCCGCGGATGAGGATTTCGACCCACTTCGCCCCGTGGCTTGCGTTGCCGGCAGTGGCGGCTGCGGTGGAAGCGGAGGCGGCAAGCTCGGGCCGGCGCGATTCGCGACGAAGGCGCCGTGGAATCTCGGGATTGCGCCGCAGACGTGGCAGGATCCCGAGTCGCCAGGCTACAGCAGCGGCGGCGGCGGCGGCGGCGGAAGTGGAAGGGGGTCTAGGGAGGCGGAAATTCCGCTGAGCGGGACTCCCGTGGAGGTAATTGAAATCGGCGCGCAACAGGGGGAGACAGGGCAGCTGTACGCGGTAAAACCGCTCGGCGCGATTGCCGTAGTAGCCGAATCCTGCGACGGTTTCGCAACGTCGGCGGCGTCGCGCGGCTCGAAGGAATCATCTGGGCGACGTCGCGTGATGTCGTGGACTATATTGGCGATATCGCTAACCGACCCGCGGTCGCACATAGTGAATGACGTGGCAGACCTCGCGTGGGAGATGCCTGGAGAACTGGAACGAATCAAACAGTGGGTGAAAACGTGCTGCGGTGTACCTGCTTTAAGAAATGGCGGGAATAACAATTTTGTAACTACGAGCGGGAAGAGTGCTGGTTACCAGCGGCGATGGTTGGCGTTTGACGAACGGGCGTGGGGTCGCGAACGTACGATCGAGGAGCTGACAATCGCGCACCAATCGTGGCAAATCATGCACGACGAGCTTCCGGTCCCCGCGCCTTTCGTGCACGTCGATTTGCCGAACCTCGGAGCCTCGGGATCTCCGGACGCGGTTGGGAAGAATCTCGATAGAGTCAGTTTCACGAGCGGTGTACAGTGCACGGAACTGTACAGTGACGAGAATTCTTCCAGAGTAACAGATGATGATAGTGAAAACGGAAGCAGCGGCGGAACGAGTGGAGCTTTGCCAACACCAGAGGCACTGGAGAGACTATGGGCGCATGTATTCGAGAAATATAAGTACGAAAGCAGCCGGTTCCTCAATAATAGCAGGGGTGATTTTCATTGTAACAACGATGCGGAAGTTGGTCAAGTGTTGGTAGAAGACAGGAATGGGACTGTAGCGAGGATGGACGGCCACACGCAACGTGCAGCTTCTGGAAGCAGTGTGACCTACAGCACAAGCAGTAGCAGCAGTGGCACTAGCGTTGACATCAGAAGTATGGGCAAGAGTAGCAGTTACAGCAGCCGTGGCAGCTATAGCAGCAGCTCAGCCGCAGCAACCACAGGCATCAGCAGCAACGGCAACCAAAATGGCAGCAGAAACGGCAGCGGTACTCCCAAGGCTGCAGCTGCCAGCAGTGCCGCCGGCGTTGACTGTAGCGGATTGGATAGGAGCATTAGCTACAGCCACAGCAGCTACAGCAGCCGCAGCTACAGTAGCAGCAGCAGAAGGGTCAAGGCTACAGCCCCGAGTAATGACTCTGTTGTGGACAGTAGTGGGTTTGGCAAGAGCAGCAGCTACAGCAGCAGCAGCTACAGCCGCAGCAGCTACAGCAGCAGCAGCAGCAGCAGCAGCACTGCGAATGACTCAGGCTGTAACTCACAGCGTAACACAAGCGGTAACACAGGCGGTAACGCAAGCAGCATGAGGGATGGGAAAAAGAACGGCAGCAGGAAGAAAGACGGCGGTGGCATTGCGGCTGGCCTGCGTTGTCTTATGCTGCCACCCACCCCAACCTTCCATGGCCATGTGACTATGTGGAAGGATTCGGCCAAGGCTCGTGCGGAAACGAGTCACGGCTCGTCTCATGCTAAGCCGACACAGTCACCCGGTTCCCAGGTATTCCAGTCACGTTCGTTACAATCACAATCACTACAGTCACACTCTTTCCAGTCACGTGGTGCGAAGACGCCTGGTGGGCGCCTGGAGGGTGGGGGGTGGAGGGACGAGGAGGAAGAGGAGGAGGAGGAGGAGGGAAAGGGAGGGGATGAGGAAGAGGAGGAGGCGAATGAGGAGGAAGAGGAGGAGGAGGAAGAAGGGGTAGCTCCTCCTGTTCTGGTAGTTCCTCCTTTGAACGTGGTAAGAAGGGGTTTGCGGGGAGCCGGCAAAACGCCGACTGCTGCTGCTGCAACTGTCCCTGCTGCTCCTGCTGCTGCTGCTGCTGCGGCTGCTGCTGCGGCTGCTGGTGGGGCTGCTGGTGGGGCTGGTGGGGGAAAGGAAGGGGGAACGAGGTTGAGGGGAAGGCATGAGAGGGGCAGAACGAGGGACTTTGTCTTCCCTATACACGTCCCCGTTAGCACACAGAGTGGGAGGCCCTCGGCTGGGCTAGCAGAGGGTGGTCTGATTGATACACCCGCAGCAGCAGCTATAGCAGCACAAGTAGACGCAGGCGCAGGCGCAGGCACAGGTGCAGGTGCAATGGGAGACACAATCATGGAAGCAAGAGCAGGAGAGGGGACAGAAGCAGGGGCAGGAGAGGGAGCAGAGGCAGCAGCATCAACAGCAGCATCAGCAGCAGCAGCACCACCACCAACACCAGCGGCAGGAGCAACTGCAGCAGGTGGGGTTCTCCCTTCCACTCGCACACACATCCAGGTGCCTTTTGAGTCGACTCAAAAGTCACCAGGTGAGGTACTCCCATCCCCCCGCACACACATCCAGGTGCCCACGCGTGCTTATATGCGGCGGGCGCACCGCAGGAAGAGCCTAGAGAGCATCGCGCAGGTGGCCCCTGTGCCGGAGTGTGACTATAACGAAGGGCTCGGGGCGGAGGGCGCGGGCAGGGGGGACAGGGGAGGCAGGAGGCATTGGGGGAGCAGGGGGAGCAGGGGGAGCAGGGGTAGTTGGGGGAGCAAGGGGAGTTTTAGGGAGATTCAGGAGGAGGGTGTTGGTAGTGAAGGGAAGACCGCGGGGGAAGAGCAGGGGAGAGGTGAGAGCAGAGAAGATGCTGGTGAGGTAGGGAGGGGGGAAGAGAGGGAGTTGGGTGGGGAGGGTGGGAATAGTGTTGCTGGTGAGAGCACGAGTAACAGTATCACTGATGGTGTTGCAGAGGGGAGCATGAGCGAAGGGGTAAGCCATCACAAGAGTGTGGAGTATAATGAGAGCACGAGCAGCGGTACTGGTGAGAATATGGGCGGGGGTGTGGGTGGAGGTATCACTAATGAGAGAACACATAGGGGTTTCATTAGGGCCCGCCGCAACAGCCGGAGCAGCTTCAGCAGGGCTTCTGGCGAGAGCACAGCTGGTGTTACAGATGGTAGCATGGGCGGGGAATTGGATCAGGGCATGACTAGGAGTTTCAGTGGCAACAGTCTCAACAGCCTCAGCACCCCGAGTGGCCTGAGCATCCAAGGCAACAGCCAGGTCGGACGGAGCGGGTTGAACAGCCAGAGTGGTTCGTGCAGGCAGGGCGGACGGGGCGGGCCGAGTTGGGTAGCGCGGCGAAGCATGGCGCGAGCGCTGTCACGGCGACGAGGGTCGGCGTGTGAGTCTGTGGAGTGTGACTATACGCGCAATGCTGATGAGAATACCCCAACGTCTGTGGCTGCTGACGTGGCGGGTGGTTCTGAGCGTGGTGAGCCTGGCGAGTGTGACTATATGAGTGTTTCTGACCTGGGGTTGTTTAAACGAGGGGAGTCTGGGGAGTGTGATTATGTGAGTATCTCGGATTTGGGCGGTTCTGAGCGTGGGGATTCTATTGCAGAGTGTGACTATATCGAGTTGGACAATTTGAATCGCGAGAGGTCAACGTGTGACTCTATTGAAAGGGAACAAAAGGGGGTGGAGGAGAGTGTACGAGGAACAGGAGGGGAGAGAGAGGAGGAGAATAGAAGGAGTGAGGGAGAGGTGAAAGAAGGATTAGTAGGATTGGAAAGGGAGGAGGATGGGGAGAGTGAGGGAGGGCAGAAGGAAGTAGAAAGAATGGCAAAGGAGAAGGATGGGGAAAGTGGAGGAGAGGTGAAGGAGGGAGCAATGGAGGTGAGTTCTGGTGGGGAAATAAACGTGAGAGGAATGGAGGAGGAGGATGGAGGGACGGAGATCAGAGAGGATAAAGAAGAGGAGGTGGGGGTGGGGGTGGGGGTGGGGATGGGGCTGGGGCTGGGGATAGGGATGCGGGTAGTGGTAGGAATGGAGGAGGGAATAACAGGAGGGGCAGAAGCGGAGGAGGAGGAGGTGGGGGTAATGGGAGGGGTGAAGGAGGGAGCAGTGGTGGGAGAGGAGTCAGAGGAAGCAAGGGAAGGTGATGTGGGTACGTGTGGGGGAATGTTTGGAAGAGGAAAGGAGGAGGATGGGGGTGAGGAGAAGAAAGAGGTGGCAGAGGGTGAGGAAAGTGAAGAGGAGGAGAGTGAAGAGGAGGAGAGTGAAGAGGAGAGGAGTGAGAAGGAGGGGCGTGAGGAGGAAGGGGAGAGTGAAGAGGAGGAGTGTGGGGAGGAAGGAGAGAGTGAGGAGGAAGGGGAGAGTGAGGAAGAACGGGAGGTGGAGGAGAGTGAAGAGGAAGAGGAGAAAGAAGTCGTCTCAGAGATTTTCAAGGAGAGAGTTGCGGAAAATGTGCAAGGGAGCGTGGGAGGAGGAAACGATGGAGAGAGGAGGAGTGAAACCGAGAGGGAGGGAAGAGAGGAGGAAAGTGAGGAGGAGAGTGAGGAGGAGAGTGAGGAGGAGAGTGAGGAGGCTCGGAAGCTTCTGGAGGAGATAAGGTGTGCTGTGAGGAGAAAGATGCACAGGGAAGGGAAGCTTCCTCTGAACCCTGCTTCTGCTGCCGCCGCTGCTGCTACTGTTACTGCTGCTACTGGTACTTCTGCTGCCGCTGCTGCCTCTGCTGCTGCTACTGTTACTGCTGCTACTGGTGCTACTGCTACTGTTGCTACAACTGCTACTCCTACCACTGCCAGTGACACTGCTGCTACTGTTACTCCTACTGGTGCTGCTGCTGCTACTGCTGTTGCTGCCACTGCTGCTACTGCTACTGCTACTACTGGGAGCGATAGTGCTACAGCTGCTACAGACCCTACAAGGTCTCCTCCCCTCTCTCCTCTTTCCCTCCTTCCCTCTCCAACCCGCTCGCCTCTTCCTCCTCACACACTCCCCCCTCTTCCTTCTCCTCCCCTCTCTCCTCTTCCTCCCCGTCCTTCTCCTCCCCTCTCTCCTCTTCCTCCCCGTCCTTCTCCTCCCCTCTCTCCTCTTCCTCCCCGTCCTTCTCCTCCCCTCTCCTCTCTCCCTCCTCTCCCCTCTCCTGCACGTTCTCCCCTCCCCTCTGCCGCCCTCCCTGCTATGAAAACACCACAAGCACCTTCTGAGTCGACTCAAAAGTCACCTCAAGGGTCTCCCCTTCCCGCTGCTTTTGAGTCGACTGAAAAGCTCCCCTCTGCCGCCCACCCTGCTAGGAGAACCACACAAGCACCTCTTGAGTCGACTCAAAAGTCACCTCAAGTGTCTCCCCTTCCTCCTGCTGCTCCCCCTGTTATGGGAGTGCCAGAACCTCTGATAAGCAGGGCCCGAAGCAACCCTAGTCTGGCCAGTGCAGCTACCGAAGGCGCTTATAACGGGGATGTTAAGATTACTGCTGGTGAGAGTGGTTATAAGGGGTACGGTACGGCTGCTGCCGGTGAGGGATCGTGGTGGGGAAGAAAGGTTGCTGCAGGAGGGGAGGCAGCAACCGCAGGAGCAGTCACAGGAGCAGCAGCAGCAGGAGCAGCAAGTGCAATAGCAACAGCAACAGCAGCAGCAGCAGGAGCAGCAGCAGCAGTAACAGCAGGAGCAGCAGCAGCAGCAGTAGCAGCAGTGGCAGTGGCAGCCGGAGCAATGGCTGCTGGTGGTGCGTTTGAGTCAACCCATTCTTTCGGATCAGCGGCAACAGCAGCAACAGCAGCAGCAGCAGCTGCTGCTGCTGCTGCTGCTGGTGCTGGTGCTGGTATCAGATTGAACCAGAGTAGAGCAGCAATGGAGGCTGCTGCTGCAGCAGCTGAAACTGGGGGTGGTGATGGTGGCGATGACGGGAAAAGGGATGGAGGAGGAGGAGGAAAAGGAGGAGGTGTGGAAGTGAGTGCGGAGGAGAGGGAGAGGGAGAGAGTGAGGGAGGAGAGAGGGAGGGAGCTAGCAGAAAGGGCGAGGAAGCAGAGGCAGCAGTTTGTGGAGAGACTGGAGAAGCAAAAGCAGATGGCGAGGATGGGGGGGGTGAACCAGGGGATGGGTGTGAGACCAGGCAGTGGGGGGGTGGGAAGTGGAGGGAGTGGGGGAAGTGTGGGAAGTGGGGTGAGAGGAGAGGAAGCAGCTGCTACAGCCTCTGCTGCTAATGGCATTTCTGCTGCTGCTGCTTCTGCTGCTGCTTCTGCTGCTGCTGTTGCCGGATCGGTGGACAACGGTACGAGCAGGTGGGGCGTGGTATCAGGGGCCGTGGAGCATTCAGGGAAGCAACTGGAAGAGTCTAATGCAGCTGAAGCTGCTGCTGCTGCAGCTGCTGCTGCCGCTGCTGCTGCTGGTGCTGCTGGTGCTGGTGCTGGTGTGTGGAAAGATGAGTCAACGCGGCAAGCAGAACTCTTGGCAAGCAAAGGAAACTACCTCCTACGGTCGATCACAATGCTCCGAGAGGCCCGGGCAGAAGAAGCAGAAGCAGCAGCAGCCGAAGCGGAGAAAATCCGAGCACAGACAGCAGCAGCGGCGGCAGCAGGGAGAATGAGCAGCAGGCAGCACCGGCGGCAGCGGCAGCAGCACCGGCAGCAGCGGCAGCAGCGCCGGTGCGTGCGTCGCCGCGGGTTGCATCGGAGGAGTATGAGCGAGGACTTTGTATCGCAGCTGCTACAAACGGATTTTTCTCAGCTTGTTGATCTCTCTGCTGGCACACCTACGCTCTCCCCCTCTCTCTCCCCGTCTCACTCCCCCTCTCACTCCCCCTCTCGCTCCCCCTCTCACTCTCCTCTTGCTCCTGCCACCAATCTCACTGGGGGAAGTGGAGGGTTCGGGTGGAGTGGGAGGATCGGGGGAAGTGGAGGGTTGGGGGGGAGCGGAAGGGGGGGGAGTGGGAGGATTGGGGGAAGTGGAGGGTTGGGGGGGAGTGGCAGGTTAGGAGGAAGTGAGAGGCTAGCGGGGAGTGGGGGGGCGGGGGCTTATGTGGACTCGTACGTGAGTCTTAAGTCTCCTAAGGCGGAGGGGAGGGGGAGGGCAGCAGGGGGTAAGGTGACGGCTGCTGCATTGCTTGCAGTGACACCGCGAGGAGAGGGAGGAGGTGGGTGGAAAGGAGGATGGGGAAGCGGAGGAGGAGGAGGAGGACGTGGGGGAGGGGGAGGCGGAGGAGGAGGAGGGGGGGCGGGAGGAGGAAGAGGGGGAGGAGCGGAGAGGGTGAGGAGAGGAGGAGGGGGGTGGCGGTTAGAATTCCGGGAAGAGGAGAACAGGAATGAGTATGGGGTGCCTCTTTCTGAGGCGCAGCAGAGAGTGAATGGGTTTGGGGTTTCCAGGAGCGAGTGTGGGGGGACATATGACGGGAATGGGGAAACAGCAGAAGCAGAAGGAGAAGAGCCGAGATTCCTCCGATCGAAAACCATTGCTACTGCTGGTGTGAGTTACTGCTCGTGGGAAGGACCCCTCTCTCCTGCTGCACGCACCACACATGCCGGCCTTGGCACGGATAGGGTTGATAGGGAGGCTGGGGAGGGTGGGGAGGATAGGGAGGATGGGGATGGAGAGAGATGGGAAGAGGAGGGGGTGGAGGAAGAAGAGGAGGTGCCTTTGGTTCAGCTGCTTCGGTCGAGAACTATCGGGTCGGGATATGCATGCAGAGTGCTGGATTTGGAAGAGAGTGGTGTTGCTGCTGCTGATGGTGATGCTGGCGGTGGAGGTGCTGATGGTGATGATGTATCGAACGAGAGTGGGCGCAAGGCAGGCAGCAGCAGGCACAAGGGAGAAACGAAGCCTGCAAAGAAAAGGAATGAGGGGAAGGCTAGGAGGAGGGAGAGCGAGGGTGAAGGGGACAAGGTTAAAGAGGTTGGAAGGAAGGGGAGCAAATCTGGCAAGAAGAAGAAAGAGGAGAAAGCAGGAGGGAGAGAGGCAGAGGAAGCAGAAGAGGGTAAAGCACATATGCTGAATCCACGAAGCGAGAGTGAGGGAGTGAGCGAGGGAGTGAGCGAGGGAGTGGGTGAGGGTGTGAGTCGCGAGGGGGTGAGTGGCAAGGGTGTGAGTGGTGAGGGAGTGGGTAACGAGGGTTTACGACACCAAACGAAGGAAGGGGGGGTGAAGGAGAAGAGGAAGCAGAAGAAGGATGGGAGCAAGACCAAGGCCAAAAAGGGTGAAAAGCCTGAGGAGGTCAAAGAGGCAAAGAAGGTTGATGAGACAAAGAAGGGTGATGAGGCTGGGAAGGAAAAGGAGTCGAGGCTCACAGGCCCAACTGTGGTTGATCCACAGGAGCTTCGGTTTCAATGCTTGCAGGCAGAAAGCAGCAGCGAGGGTGTCACGTTAGCCGGTCCTGTGGGGTTGGGTGGAGGGAAGCGTTGGGGCGGTGGTATGGCTTTAAGAGTCGCCATTCCCATAGATACTCCCAACGATGATGAGGACGAGGAAGAGGAGGAGAGGGTGGAGGAGGAGGGGAGACGGAACAGTGATAGTGATTATATGGAGCGTGCACTGTTAAAGCGTGGTGCTATGTCTGCGCGTGATTATATGGGGCGCTCATCATTCAAACCAGCAGCTGTTTCAGCAGCGGGAGGGGCGCGGGGGGCGCCAGCTCTGACGCCAGGCCCAGCGGCCAATAGGAAGCTGCCACGTGGCATGTCCCCCAAGCCAATCATGACCCCGAAAGACCTGGCAGCGTACTATGAGAAATCTGGAACCCAGGAGAATCAAAAGACTCCTCGAATGGCAGTAGGGCTTGGGTCAGGAATTGGGATGGGTCCTGCTGGGTTTAAAAGGAGAACCCCTAGGTGGACGCCCAGGGGGCACCCTGGGGGAGGATTTAAGAGCGGCTTTAAAGGACGCTTGGAAGGGGGCTTTAATGGGGGCTTTGAAAGGGGCAGTGGATGGGGCGGTGAGCGCAGGGAGGATTTCAGGGGTTCAACTCCCAAGGGCAGCAGAACCCCTCAAGACTCTCCGCCTACTCTTGCCCTCCCTACTGTCACCACCCTTGTAGGCACTCCTCCTTCAAGCACTCCCCCGTCCAGCACCACTCCTAGAAGCACAACCGCTAAGAGCACCACTCCTAGAAGCACAACCCCTAAGAGCACCACTCCTAGAAGCACAACCCCTAAGAGCACCACTCCTAGAAGCACAACCCCTAAGAGCACCACCCCTATAGGCACAACCCCTGTAAGCACAACGCCAAGAGGGACCACCCCCACTAGCACCACCCCTAAAAGCACCACACCTAAAAGCACTACGCCCAGGAGTAACACCCCCGATAGAAGCACGCCTAATGGTGCCAGTCTCCGTAGCAGTACCCCTAAGGGAACATCCCCTAAGGGCACACCTTCTAAGAGCACAACTCCTAAAAGCACCACTCCAAGAGCCACCACTCCAAGGAGCAACTCCCCAACTACCCCCACCGCTTCTTTCTCTAATCCCACAATACCCTCGCTCACCTCCTCTCCCTTTTGGCCACCTGCCTGGGTTGCCCCTTGGAAAACCAATTCTGTCAGCAGTGGCAGCAACAGCAGGGACGCTCATCAACCACAACAAGAGCAACAATGGCAGCAGCAGCAGCTTGAGGAGGGAAATGAGGATGGGTTCTTGGGTGCTCATGGCACAGAGGAAGCAAACCACTCCAAGCTTCGATTGATTCGTGATTTATTGAGTAACTCACAGAAACAGGACTGTTATGAGTTGTACTAAGAAGAGTGCGCGGAAGACTTTATAAAAAGGATGAGAATTACAGAATGTCGAGAATGATAATGAAGTAGGCATTTATAGGGTCAAAACCGTGCTAGGCGAGGACCTCGATGTGCGTGGCTCGGGAATGTCGCAATTGGTGCGGGGCGACTCGGGGCTGGTTCGGTACGAAAGTGTAGGCCGAGCCCAAACTGACGCGAACAGTTCGGGCTGTCCTCGCTAGGGACAGTCTCTACAGTAATGAAATTATAATTTTTAAACACACATGTAGTGTTTTTTAAAATTGTGTATTGTGAAAGCGAAGCTGCTTGTACTGCACAATTGGCATCGTCGAAGCGCGCTAAACGCCCTTCTCCAACTACAAAAACCGTGGGTTGGAGCTCATTTCCCTCCACCCACGTTTCTCAATTTTCAAACGGCTCACTCAACATTTCCGCTCGAGTAGTTTTTCCCTCCAAGCTGGCTAGGATTAAATCGCTTCCCCTCT